CAACACTAGAGGGGCACAGGTTTAAAATGAGAGGGGAAAGATTTAAAAGGGACCTGATGGGCAACTTTTTCAGAGAGGGTGGTGTGTGTGTGGAATGAGCTGCCAGACGAAGTGGGTGGGGGCTGGTACAATTACAACATTTAAAAGGCTTCTGGATGGGGACATGGATAGGAAGGGGTTAGAGGGATATGGGCTAAATGCTGGCAAATGGGGACTGGATTAATTTTAGGATATCTGGTTGGCACCTAAGGATCTGTTTCCGTGCTGTGTGACCCTGAAGGCAGGATGTGGAATCGAGGTCAGTAATAGAATGCGATCTTATCTAGTGGAGGCTGAAAGCTGGTCACCAGCTCGCATCCTGTTTTTGAATGGCGCTGTGTTTTAAAAGTTCTGATTGTGTGTGTGTGTGTGTGTGTGTGTGTGTGTGTGTGTGCGCGTGTTTGCTGTTGTATTCAGGAGGTGCTCTCGTGGCTGACGGACCTGCAGGAAGAGCTGGGTGGAGAGGTGTCTGACGAGAAGCTGCGAGACTTCATTTGGAACACGCTGAACTCTGGCAGGGTGAGCTTTGTCTCCACTGCCCCCTGCAGGGGGTGGTGGGGGTGGTGGGCCGGGGGGGGTGTGGGGATGGTGGGCCAGGGAGGGAGAGATGATTAACCATGGTCCTTTGTGCTTCACATTTCACAGCTGGTTGCAGCGCGCTGTGAGTTCACATCAGTGCTAAATTCATAATAGCAGCAAAATACTGTCACCATGATCCTGTGTCAGCTGGTTTACTAACAGCACTGTTATTAGACGCTGACCCTCGCTCGGTGCGGGGCCCCCCCCCCCTCGGCGTGTTGGCCTCTGAATGCAGTGTATCTGCGGTGGGGTTCGTTGTCTCTTCCCACTGTCGGTTCTGTTTACCTCTGTTTCCCCATCCGTCCTGCAGGTCATTCCTGGTTACGGCCACGCTGTCCTGCGCAAGACTGATCCCCGCTACACCTGCCAGAGGGAATTCGCCCTCAAGCACCTGCCAAACGACCCCATGTTCAAGCTGGTCGCTCAACTCTACAAGATTGTCCCCGGGGTGCTGCTCGATCAGGGCAAAGCCAAGAACCCCTGGCCCAACGTGGATGCACACAGTGGGGTCCTGCTGCAGGTCGGTGCCCGGGGGGCGGGGGGCAGAGTTGGGGAAAGGGTGTGGGTCAGATAGTGACACGTCCCACATTTTTGGGGAGGGGGTGGAAGAAACAGGGGAGGGGGAGCTCCTTTTATCCTGGAGGGGCCTTTTCACACCCAGATACAAGCCCCAGTTCTTGCACCTGAAATGTGCACGATGTCCATCGAACCCCTTCCTGCCGTTGCTGCGCCCAGTTTACTAGCTAATCAGGATCAGACTGTGTAGCCTGAGTCCATCCTCCACACTATCAACAACATCACCATAAGAGTTATACAACACTGAAGCAGATGCTTCGCCCCAACTTGTCCATGCCAATTAAGTTTCCCCAAACGCAACTTGTCCCATTTGCTTGTGTTTGTCTCCTATCCCTCTAAACCTTTCCTATTCATGTACCTGTCCAAATGTCTTCTAAATGTTGTAACTGTACCTGCATCTACCACTTCCACATACAAACCACCCTCTGTGGAAAAGTTGCCCCTCAAGTCCTTTTTAAATTTTTACCCTCTAACCTTAAACCTATGTCCTCCAGTTTTGGACTCTTTCTCTCTCTCTCTCTCTTTCCACCACCACCCCCCCCCCCCCCCTCAACCACACTGGGGGGGAAAAGACCTTGTCTATTCGCCCTTTCCATGCCCCTCATGATTTTATAAACCTCTATAAGGCCACCCCTCGGCCTCTGACGCTCCAGAGAAAATAGCCCCAGCCTATCCAGCCTCATCCTGTAGCTTAAACCCTCCAGTCCCGGCAACATCCTTGTCAAGTCTTTTCTGCATCCTCTTCAATTTAATAATATCCTTCCTCTCACAGGGCGACCAGATCCATAAACTTACTAATTAAACCTTTGACATTCACATCTGAGTCATTGATGTACACAACAAACAGCAGGGGTCCCAGCACCAATCCCTGTGGTATACCGCTGGTCAAAGGCTTCCAACCACAAAAACAGGCCACCACCATCACTGTTTGCCTCCTATCTGTAAACCAATTTTGGGCCTGGTTTGTCATCTTGCCTTGGATCCCATGGGCTGTTACCTTTCGGACCAGCCTTCCATGTGGGATCTTGTCAAAGGCCTTACTTAAGTCCAGGTAAACCACATCAACTGCACTACCCTCATCGATATATTTAGTCACCTTTACAAAAAAGAACTTGCCTAATTTGGTCAGACAGGATCTCTCTCTAAGAAATCAGTGCTGACTATCCCTGCCTTTCCATGTGTTAACTAATCCTGACCCTCAAAACTTTTTTCCAATAATTTCCTATTTGCTGACATCAGACTAACTGGTCTGTAATTCCCTGGCCTATCTCTGCTGCCCTCTTTGAACATAGGAACCATATTAGCTATCCTCCAGTCATCTGGCACTCTACCTGTGCCCAGCACAGTGTTAAATATCTCTGCCAGGGTCCCAGCAAACAGCCCTCTTGCCTTCCATGAGATACATCTCATCAGGCCCTGGGGAATTATGCACCTTTATACCTGTTAAAACATCTAATGCCTCCTCATTATTAATCTTAACATGCTCTAGAACCTCAAAGCAGCACAACTGAAATCTCCGGCTACAATGCCTTTCTCCTTTGTGAAATACAGATGAAAAATATTCATTTAACACCTCACTCACATCCGGTGGCTCCCCACACAGATTGTCGATTTGGTTTCTAATAGACCCCACTCTTTTTTTTTTTTTTCCTTTCCCTGGGAATCCTCTTCCTCTTGATAAAATGCCATAGGATTTTCCTTAATCCCACCTGCCAAAGATATTTTGTGGCCCTTGTCTGCCTTCCTCATTTCCTTGTGTAAGCAACACTCTGTACTTTTGAAGGGTCCTCCCTTGTTTTTAATTCTCTGTATCTGACATTTGCTTCTCCCTTTTTTATCAAACTCTCGATACCCCTTAACATCAAGGTTTTCCCTCAGCTTGCTGCCTTTGCCCTTCACTCTTAGAGGAATGCACTAGCCTTGAATTCACACATTACTACTTTTTAAAAGACTCCCACTTTCCAAATGTAGACTTACCTGCAAGCAGCTGCTCCCAGTCTGCTTAACAGATCTTGTCCAATGATATTGAAATTGGCCTTTCCCCAGTTTAGACACAAAGGTGAAATAGTGGCTCAGAGGTTAGCACTCCTGCCTCACAGCGCCAGGGACCCGGGTTCGATTCCACCCTCGGGCAACTGTCTGTGTGGAGTTTGCATGTTCTCCCTGTGTCTGCGTGGGTTTCCTCCGGGTGCTCCAGTTTCCTCCCACAGTCCAAAGGCATACAAGTTCGGCAAAAATGAAAGTTGCTGGAAAAGTTTAGCAGCTCAGGCAGCATCTATGAAGAGAAATCAGAGTTAATGTTTCAAGTCCGGAGACACTTCCTCGCCAGACCTGAAACATTAACTCTGATTTCTCCTCACAGATGCTGCCAGACCCTGCTGAGCTTTTCCAGCAACTGCTGTTTGTGTTTCTGATTTACAGCATCCGCAGTTCTTTCGGTTTTTCTGCAGGCTAGGTGGATAGACCAAACTAAATTGTCTGTACTGTCCGGGGGTCTACAGGCTAGATGGATTAGCCATAGGAAATGCAGGATTACAGGAATAGAGTAGAGGAATGGGTCTGGGTGGGATGCTGTATGGAGGGCTAGTGTGGGCTTGATGGGCCAAATGGCCTGCTTCCACACCAGAGCGATTATTGTGTGATTCTGTTCTGTGAACCTCTGCACTATCCTTATCCCTTTGCATAATGACTGAAACTTAGAGTTATGATGACTATTTCTAAAATGCTCACCCACTGAGGGGGATATGGGCTGAGTGCAGGCAGGTGAGACTAATTTAGTTTGGGAACATGGTCGGATCAAAGAATCTGTTTCCATGCTGTATGACTAACTCCTATCTCCTGTTAAACCTCTCGGTGTGCCTGACTCTGTGTGTCTCTCTCTCTCTGTTGCAGTATTATGGAATGAAGGAAATGAATTACTACACAGTTCTGTTTGGTGTCTCCCGTGCCCTGGGAGTCCTATCCCAGCTGATCTGGAGCCGAGCCCTGGGCTTCCCCTTGGAGAGACCCAAATCGATGAGTACGGACGGCCTAATAGACCTGGTGGATGCTAAATCTGGCTAAAACGCCCAGCCCCTCTCCCTGCGCGAGAGAGAGAGCCCACAAAACAGCATTCACACAAGACCCCAGTGCACACACCATCATCTACGCTCCCTCCCTGCATGGGGAAGCAGGATAACCTGATGGATGAGATGTAATTTTTGTTGTCCTTGTGGTGGGTTTATATTTTGTTTTTTGTTTTTGGTGGGGTCGGGGGAGAAGTAAAGGCTGGGGGGGATTTGGGAGAGAAAGTGGACAAACGTTTATCACCGGAGTGGAGAGGACTTAATTTAAATACTGGCGCGATTTGTTTGTATTTTTTTTTGTCGTGTTTTTTGTTTAAAGTATGCGTGCTGTTTGTCTCGCCTCCCAGCTAAGGCAGACAGAAGTACTGACAGAATACACTCCTTTTCGGGGTGAGGAGGGTGGGGAGCGCAGCAGTTTTCCCCCCCCCCCACCCACTGCCCTCCCCAGTGAACATTGGCCAGCCCAGACTCTCCTGGATCTGTCTCTCGCTGCGTCAAGTAAAGGTTCTGATCATGTCTCATGCCTCAGGTTGTTCTGAATTGACGAGGAAAGAGAGAGAGAGAGAGTGGAAATAAATGTTTTTATTACTGTGTGCGTCTGTCTGTGTGTCGGGGAACCTTGGGGGGGAAATTCCGCCAGGAGCTATGGTAGGAATGAAGCAGACATGCATGCGCGTGCACGCACACACTTACACGTACAACCCGTGCTTCCCCCAGCCCCTGTCGAGGTGTCACCAATGTCAGCAGGAGCCCTGCCTCAGTTAGCAGAGGTAGCACAGCCTACCCTCCCATCGTCGACCTGAAGAGGCAGTGGGTCAGAAATCGCAACCGTTCTGTCCACCAGCCGCTATGGACATGGTGGGCTCAATGGCCTTGGGCTGTAATCAGAGTAATCCCACTGCCCCACACGCTCTCTTCCCCACAGCCCTGTACCGATTTCCCCAACATAATCCCACTGCCCCATGCGCTCTCTTCCCCACAGCCCCGTATCGATTCCCCACAGCCCTGTATCGATCCCCAAACTAATCCTGCTGTTGCCCACCCCCACCCCAGCTGTACCCATGGGTAATTTTACAGGCCAGAGTATGAAACCCATCAACCTGTCCCCCTGTTGGGTATCTCATCAAACTGCCCTTCTGAATATGAAGGAACGTCAGAAGGAATTTCACAGGTTAGTTAAGAGGTGATCGCCTTGATAGGAGGGTGGTATTAAGGAGACACTGAGGGGGGAAGTACGTGTATCGGGAGGGACATTGCAGTAATTCCAGGAGTGGGGAGCCCCGTGTGAAGTGGGGTGTGGTACGGTGAGAGGGCAGACGTTACGTCCAGTTCTTGGCTAAAGACGTCGCCAGGCTTTTACTCCCCAAGTGATGAGTGTGAGCTTCATTCTGGTGCATTGCCCCCCTGGGTGGGTTTCCATACCCTAACATCACCTCGCCCAAAACTCACTTGTAATCCCATACCTTCCCCCCCCCCAACACCCAAAATCAAATCCAGAACCCCTTCCCCCAAGAGTCAAAGCCACCACGTGCGCAATGCCCGAGTCAAGAACTTAGACCCAAATTAGGCCCCTCTGGTCTGAGGAGCCAGAGGCTATTCAGCACTGACCAAAACCTGGGGCCTGTGACCAAAAGAAATAGAATGGGATTAGGCCATTCAGCCCCTCGAGCCTGCCCCAACATTTAGTAGGATCATGGTGATCCAACATTCCTCATGTCCACTTTCCTGCCTTTTCCCTGGATTCCCCAACTGATCAGGAATCTGTCTCAGCCTTAAACATACGCAAAGACTCTGCCTCAACACCCCCCACAAACCACCACAGCTCTCTGCAGTAAGGAGTTCTAACCCTCTGAGAGAGGAAATTCCTCCTCATCTCGGTCTTAAATCAGCACCCCCTTTATTCTGAGGCTGTGCCCTCTGGTCCTAGACTCTCCCGTGAAGGGGAAACATCCTTTCAGCATCGACCCTGTTAACCCCCGATTATATTTCGATGAGATCACTTCTCGTTCTTCTCAACTCCAGCGAGTAGGGTCCCAAACCTGTTTAGCCTTTGCTCTTAAGATTATCCCTCTGTATCGGAGATCATCCTAGTGAACCTTCTACCTGTGTCGGACTTTAAAATTTGACCTTGATCCTAAACAGCACACCCTTTTTCACTCGCGTGGAATCCAAATGCAGTTCCCATTGCCTCTTTCCTCCCTCCATCACGACAGCTCTGTGTTCAAACTGGTCATGTTAGGTGATTGTAATGGGGTCAGCCAGATGAACCTCATAGAATATGAGTTACTGTGGCCCGATCGCGGAGCCCCGGCTGACAGTTATAAACAAATATAAGTTTTGGGGATTCTGCTCATTCTGAGGGAGCGGGGTCAGCGTAAATAAAGGGTGAGTTGGTGATGGGATATCAGCCTCTGTGGAGTTATTTTAGGCAGGGGGGGGTGTAGGAAGAGAGTCCAAACCTAAAGGGTGTGAGATGAAGGGGAAAGATATAAAAGGGACCTTCTATACACACAGAGGGTGGTGCGTATATGGAAAGAGCTGCCAGAGGAAGTGTTAGATGCAGGTACAGTTAGAACATTTAAAAGACGTTTGGACAGGTTCATGGATAGGAGAGGTTTAGAGGGGTAAGGGGCCAAATGCAGGCACATGGGACTGGTTGGGTTTGGTTATTTGGGCTGAAGAACCAGTTTCAGTGCTGTGTACCTATGTGACCGCTGTCCTGCTGCCCTTCCTTGGCTTCATCTATTCGTCAGGTCCACGCCTTCCTCCCAGCCTTGTGGTCAACAGTGAACCCCACCGCCATCACCACCCCCTCCTCTGAAAAGGCCCAATAAAGCACAGGATTAAGGATAACCTCACCATTACATCCACAGGAACAGGGATGTCTCACTGTGAGTGTTTGGGGCTGAGGCCACTCCTGGAGGATGGTTTGTGCGTGGCTTTGGGGGGGAGGTGTCTCCATGTCTGAGGAAGGACGTGCGGGTGATGGAGGGAGTGCAGCGAGGGGTCTTCCCCCAGAATGATCCCTGGGATGGTGCAGATTGATGTACGGAGAGAGACCAGATTGGTTCAGGCTGTACTCATTGGGTGTTTAGAAGAATTGGGAGGGGGAGGGGTTGGGGGTCTCATAGAACCTATAAAATTCTAACAGGACTAGGCACGGAGCGGGTGGGGAACGCAGGAAGGATGTTCCTGATGACCTGGGGAGGGGAAGGAGCCCAGAACCAGGGGCTCACAGTCTAATGGAGATGGGGTAGGACTGAGATGAGGAGAAATGTCTTCACCCAGAGAATGGGGCCTGTTGATTCTGTGGAATTCTCTGCCACTGAGAGCGGTTGGGGCTTAAACATTGAATGTTTCAAGAAGCAGTTCGTTATAGTTCTTCGGGGCGAAGGGGGTCACAGGGTACGGGAGAGAAAGCAGGGAACGGGAAAGTGGCTTAAGTTGACAGCTTGAGATAACAAGGTGTAGAGCTGGATGAACACAGCAGGCCAAGCAGCATCAGAGGCGCAGGAAGGCTGACGTTTCGGGCCTAGACCC